CTTGATAATTGAGTTGTAGCCATGTTTGGAGCTTGCATTTTTTATTATATTATCTTGCATAGTTGTAATTGAGATGTACGAATCGGTGATAATACAGTTTAACAACATGTATTTTTTGCATTAAAAATTTTAAAAATAAAAAATACATTTTTAATGCAAAACTGCATTAAAAATATAATACAGTTTAACAACGTGTATTTGTTAATGTATTTTTTTGCATTAACAACAAATTAGAAAATATAGTTTTGCATTAAAAATATAATGACGTGTATTTTTTTACATAAATAAGCTATCAACATGCAATTTTTTGAACTAAAAATTTAACAATAAAAATTAAAAATATTGTTTAATTCCTCGTGATAATAAAAAACTGGTCACAATTTTTCAAAAAATCACGATTTTTCAAAAAAATTGATTATGAAATTTTTTTTTTTAAAAATGCAGTTTTTCACGGACTCACTTTACATCAGTCATTCCAACTCAATCATTCCAACTAAAAAGTCTGCCTCAAATCGAATAAATTACATCAAATTGAATACATGTTTTGATAAACAACACTATAGGGAATCAAAACCTTATAATATTAACACATTATTATCAAAATATTAAATAAAATCGATTGAATTGAGGAAAAAAAAAAAAGAAAAACGTAGTTCTTCACAAACATTAGTCATTCAATCTAAAAAATGAAGCTCAAATTGAATAAATCATATCAAATTGAATACATGTGATGATAAACAACACTATAACGAATCAAAACCCTATAAATTTAACAAATTATTTGCAAAATATTGAGTAAAATTGATAGAACGGTGGAAAAAGAAAAAAAAAAAAAATCGCAGTCCATTTTTTCTTCACAGACATCAGCTTTTTTTCTCAAAAATCAAGCTCAAATTGAATAAATAAAATCAAATTGAATACATGTGATGATAAACAACACTATAACGAATCAAAACCCTATAAATTTAACACATTATTTGCAAAATATTGAGTGAAATTGATAGAATGTCAGGGAAAAAAAAAAAACGCAGTTCGTTTGTTCTTCACAGACATCAATTTTTTTTTCTCAAAAATCAAGCTCAAATTGAATAAATAAAATCAAATTGAATACATGTGATGATAAACAACACTATAATGAATCAAAAGCCTAATTTAACATTTTATTTGCAAAATATTGAGTGAATTGGATAGAATGGCAGAAAAAAAAAAAAAAATAACGAAGTTCTTACCTGTTTTTCATGCACCCATGGCTTCAAATTCAAATTTGATATGTATTCGTTCAAAATACTCACAAATTATGAACAAAAACTTTTGAACAACACTCTTACAATCAATAACCCTCAGATTTCAGAAAAAATGATGGCCTCTTTTGCTTGAAATCATAGAAATGGTAGAACCCTAAACTTTTTTAGGGTTATTCACATATCCAAATTGTTTTAATCAAAATCGGTGATTTTTACTACCTTTTATTGACTAAAATGGCTCAAAAATTTTAAATAAAGCCTGCAAGATTCAATTATAAAGCTGAAAAATGATAAAAAAATGACAAAAAACCATGAAAATCGTGAAGAACACTGTGTAGCTCGTGTTCTTGGACGAGTCACTGTTGAGACTCAACGATTCACTATTGGGAATTGCTCGGTTCTCTCTAGACACTGGCAATTCCCGGTATTGTAGTGGAATCGGCACGCGGTTTGCCGATTCCCGAGTCGAACTGCGAGTCCGGTTCGACTTGCCGAGTTTTCAAACCCTGCTATAGACCATCATTTCTTTCTTTTTTGGCACTTAATTGCGATCACATTTATAACATGTTATTGGTTTCAACATGATAAATTGTTGGAAAAATATGATTGGAATAACATGATTTTATTATGACAAATTTTATTTTTATTAATTATTTATAGAAGTCTTTCAAATGTCGCTCTATATAATTTGAAGTAGACAATAAATGTATGTACTAAATTCAAAATCTGTATGGTACAAGTTAAATAATGGCTTGACATTGGTTTCAACGTGATAAGTCATTGGAGCAATATGATTGGAATAACATGATTTTATTATGATAAACTTTACTTTTATTAATTGTTTATAGAATGCCTTTCTATATAATTTGAAGTAAACAATAAATTTATGTTCTAAATTCAAAATTTGTAGGGTACAAGTTAAATAAGGGGAAAAAGTTTGATTAGTAAATTAGAAGGTTGGGTAATTGCAGTATAAAGTTTTGAGGTACAGGAGCAGACTAAAGTTGGATGTTATTTCAATTGAGATTTTGGTAATCTCTTATGAAAATTATGTTGTGAAATTTTTTGTTATGATTGTGTTGTGTAATTTATCATTGATTACTGATTTTTGTTTTTATTTTTATTTTTTATTTTTTTATTTGACACTGATCCCTTCATGTCAGATGAGGGGACAAGCTTAAAAAGGGAGAGATCACATTATGTTATGAAATTTTTTTATTATGATTGTGTTATGTAATTTTTTGTTTTTATTATTTTTGTTGCCTTCACATAAGGGAAGTAGCTTAAAAAGGGGATCAATCACCCAGTTATTTTGAAGAGAAGTAGCTTAAAAAGGGGATCACCTAGTTATTGTTTAAGAGAGGGTTTAGAAAATTTTTTATTTTTATTTTTAATTAGGGATAGAATAGTAAAAAATGCACATCTTCCAAAACTACTCGACATTTTCGTAATGGATTTTTCATCTATCACCGCGTGTAATGGATTTGATGATTTTAAGGGAAATCTCGTGCAATCGCTTTCCATTTTTTTACGATTAAGTGTACGCAAATGGTGGAAATGTTTTATTTTGTTGTAAATGTTATATTTTGTAGTAATATATTGTCAATACCCAATAGGCTTCTAAGGCATGTGTATAGGTTTTGTTAGGCTAGATCCCCAATATTTTTTGATATTTAGATACTTTTATCCTATAGTGAAGTAATTTTTTATTTAGTGTTATTTTAAGTAATTAGTCATTTTCCATTTAGGATTTTGTGTGTTGTTGTAGCGAACTAGGGTGTGCTATTTTTCTTATATTTTCTATTTTGTCCTCTGTTTTGATGAATGTTGCTTTTCCATTTTGTTCTATTTTCTTAGATAAATTATGTTGAGGTTATAACTTTTTATTGATTAGCAACATGACTTGCCTTACTAATGAACTTTCTTTCCCTCTTTTGCCTTCTGGTACTTATTATATTACTGATCGTTTATTTAGTTGCAGCTGGGATACCTCACGACTGGTGGTCGATCAATTGACGAGGTGTTGAAATTATTCCGAAATTATTCCTTCTGCTATTCTCAAAAAAAAAAAAAAAAAAAAAATTCTACCCTGTACTCTAATGGCGCTCTAATGATAAGCGTATAATTTGGTAGAAACGGTTGTACCGTGTCGATGGTAGAGACCGGTGTAGTTCAATAATGGAAGAACCCAAGTGGGGTAGGAATCTTTCTTTCTGACACTCTGCATCTAATCCATTAAGTGGTGGAAGGGTGTCTCTACCATGTTTGGGTGATCAACTTGATTATTTATTTTTTAGCGTAATTAATGCATCCCATATTGTTATATAGTTCGTTAATAAAAAGTTATAGTGTTTGTAGTTCATTTTATGTTTATTTGTGTTAATTTTATAGATGTACTTTCATGGTTTCTTGCCAGGCATACAGGGCATTGGCGGTATCAGAAAACGTGGGTCTAAAATTAAAATATTATGGTAGGTTAACTTAGATTTGTTTTCCTAAAGCAAGCTTTATTAGGAAGACCAAAAGATTAGTTTTTGTTAGGATTGATTTACTTTGCTATGCTTTTTTTGTTTTGTATGCCTAGCAAATAGAAAAAAAATGAAGATTCTATTTTATCTCCTTGTATTGATGTTGTTAGCCTTCTTAGATTATCCTCTTGCTAGGGATTTTGTATTGTTTATTTCTTTATATGTATTTTTCCCTTATAATTTTGTGAATACAATGGGTTGTGTTGGTATAGATCATAGTTTACAAACTCTTCTGGCCTAGGTTGATTTGTGAGTGGGTATCTTGTGAGTCTTTGCCTAGTTATGCGAGACTTTGATTGAGCTTCATTTTTATTTATTTATTTGTTATGACTTGTTCTATTTCGGTTTCATTGTTCAATTGCAATTGTTGTTCATTCATAAGCTTGAACTCTTAATTGCAATATTATTTAGTTTGGGTAAATAAAAAGGGTAATCAGTGCAGATTTTGGCGCAACCTTTAGGTGAGAATGAAGCTAGATGCTTCATAATAGGACTCTCGTTGGTACTACTGCCAATCTCAAAGGGTATGACAGGCTAGTTGGTACTACTACCAATCTCAAAGGGTATGACAAGCTCGTTGGTACTACTGCCAATCTCAAAGGGTATGACAGGCTCGTTGGTACTACTGTCAATCTCGAAGGGTATGTCAGGGAGTTGGTACTACTGCTAATCTGAAAGGGTATGACAGGCTCGTTGGTATTACTGCCAATCTCAAAAAGTATGTCATGGAGTTGGGCCTATATCATTTGGTGAGAATGAAGTTGGAGGCAATAAAGGGTATGACAGGCTCGTTGGTACTACTGCCAATCTCAAAGGGTATGTTAGGGAGTTGGGCCTATATCATTTGGTGAGAATGAAGGTGGTTACCTCCCCATTGAGCTCGGCAATAATTCCGCCAAGGCCACAACTTGTTATCTTATGTTTCAATGCAAACGTGGATTGGACTTATGATAATTGTTTTATTTTGATTTCCTTGCAAATGTAGTATATCTTAACAACTAATAAATAGGTTTTTATTTTTGGGAAAATTATGTACATATTCGTTATAGAGTGCGTTATTGCAAAAGTACGAAATGGTTTTATTTCCTATTTGTTCGTTTTTTTCTGTTCTTTTTTTTCTTGTCATAACGATTTTTTTTTAAAGAAGACAAGTTTACCTTTTTCGGTTGTTGAACAAACGAATTCAATGGATTTTCGGATGTTTAATAATAGTAATCAGGCCATTTTTTTTGTTTTCCATTCAGGTCAATGTCAGATTTTGAAAAATCGAAAATTCAAAATTCTTGGTTGTTGAATTTTATGTTATTCAAGAATCAATGTTTTTTTTTCATAGGTACTCCTCTTTTTTGGTTATTGAATAACTGAATTCAATGGATTTTCTATTGTTCAATAACGGATATCTTCTCTATTTTTTTTTAACCACGTTTTATCCGTCTTTTTTCTTTAAACTCTTGTCAATGTTTATCTACGAAGATTAGTCATTTGTAGAGAGAATGGATAAACATAGGGAAGAGTTTGAACCATGAGAATGGAGGTATAGAGAAAATGGATAAACATAGGCGAGACAATCCACAAGTACAGTGGAGAGTCTTATGTTTATCTATTACTCTATACTTTACATTAGGTGGGTTTAAACTATTCCTTATAGAGTTTAAAGCGAAAAGATGGGTAATGTGTAGGTGAAGATGACTCTATACTGGTTTAAACACTTCCTTATAGAGTTTAAAGGGAAAAGATAGGTAATGTGCGGGTGAAGATGGGTATGGAGGATTTCGGTTGTTGAAGAAAGAGGAGTATTTATTGAGAAAATTTTGGTTTTTGAAGAGTCGGTAATTTAAAATTTTGTTTTAGAATAGAAAATTTCGGTTCTTGCAGAGTCGATAATTTAAAATTTTGTTTCAGAACATTTAGGCTCTATCATAATTGCCCTCTAGAGAATGGGGCTTTTTATCTTTAAAGATGCCGTCTGAAGCCGCTACTCTAGGGCATCTCCACCGAGGTCTCGTGATGGCCTCCTCCCCTAGCATCCCCTCTTGTATTGGCTCCTCCCCTAGCATCCCCTATTGTATTGGCGATCAAATCCTCTTCCAAGGAAGAAGACCTCTCACTGTGGTATCGGAACTCGTCCCAAAAGCCTTGTAGGAAGATAGAGGTCATGGGAAAGCAGGATAAGATGCGTAATGCTGTTGGAGATTGTAATTGTGGAGGAAGGCGTTCCATTAGGGGTCTTGAATGGGCTCTATGCTCCCAAAAGAAGGAGGCTTCGAAGGAGAGAGGTCCAAAAGTTACTTGCGGAATTCCCTTCCCGCCTACTGCTACCCACTTTGGGGTGATTTGGGGAGGAACAAAATTTCACATGTACCGATGATTGCTCCTGGAACATAAGGGGTTTTCGGGGTTTCTAGCAAAAATAGAGGTTTGTTACAATTATTGGGGGGTTCCAACCCCATAACTTAGTTTCTTCTAGAATCCCAATTGTTTTCTCCTGTTGCGATGGATGTGGGAGTTCTTGTTCTTTTTTTGAGTGCCCGATGGTTGTTTGCTATGGTGGCCTTTCAATCCATCTGAATTATTTTCTCATTTTGGAATCGTGGCATGCATGAACTTTGTATCTATGTGACTATTCTTTTGTGGTCCAAAAATTCAACTTTGAACTTGATATATGTGTTTGTTTAATTTTGATGATTAGTATCAAACTTTTTTTTTTCTTATACATGTGTAGTTGAACACCTACTCCAAATATTTTGCACTAAACATGTGATACATATATGAAATCTGCACTGGACATTTTAATAGTTTTGAATATTTGATATTACACCATATTTCAATTCTTCCGAGTCTTGATGACTGGGTGATCTCTTTCACTTTATGCTTTGGGGATTAAATTTGTTGAGGTGATATATTGATTGATACTAATTCTTTTGGTTGACATAATGAGTTGCTTGCGCTTTTGTGTTTGTTTTTCTTCTTCTTTGCATACTATTTTTAACTTTTTCATGATTATCTTTTTTCTTTTTTGAAACAAATTGGACACATCATTTATTGCGAGCTATTCAGCAATTTCATGTCAAAGAAAAAAATATTGATATAGAAAAAATGTTCATCTACAGTGAACTTTTTAGCATTCTCATGTCCAATAAAAAAAATCATATAAAAAATATTGCAAGATTTTTCTTCCTTGACTGTTTGGATGTTTAGTAGAAGGGAAAAGTGGCAACCTTTTCAACTGAAAGCTCCGTAGTGGTTTTTATAAGCGGTTTTTATTGTTGTCAATGGAGGTTACTTTGGTGCCCTTACTCTCATATTATTGGCAGCATGTCCAAAGAAACCACCTTTCTCTTTTTGATTTCTTTGCATCACCACCTGGTGTTTCTCAGAATATCATAATCTCATATTCTTGGCACCATGTCCAAAGAAAACCACCTTTCTCTTTTTGATTTCTTTTCATCACCACCTTGGTGTTTCTCAGAATATCATAAAGTCCTCTTCTTCACTGGTTTGCTTTTATTGTCTGATTTCTCGGAATATCCTAAAGGTCCTCTATCTTCTTTTTCATATGTTTATAGATCTAATTGATTTTATCCATTTTTGAAATTTAAAATTTATAATTAGATATGATAAGAGATTTCCAAATGCCTTGCAACCTTATAAAAACCACTCCCGCTATGGATAGAACATGCGATTTGGGTCTTGAGAACACCCACTATAGATAGAAAATGCAATTTGGGTCTTGAGAACACCTACTATGGATAGAAATGTGATTTGGGTCTTGAGAACACCGAAGAACAACTCATGCCATTCCTTCCGCCCAAAGAGAGTTTTTTTTTCTGCAGTTATTTTAACTTGGTTATCCTACTAAGATACTACTGCTATGTTGGCTATGTTATTGGTTAAAACATGAAAACGGCATGCAACAAAAACCTTTTAAAAAATTAGTACAACAAAGGCTGCTATGTTGGTTTCCTATTGACTTGCCATTGCAAACATGGAATCGTCAAGCAACAAACAAAAACCTGTAAAATACTATCCGATAAAAACACAAAATTAACGCAACAAAAGCATAAAGTTTGAGGATTTGTTGTTGCCAAGCTACTGAAGCTCCTACATCCCCCATTCCTTTAGATGCTTCTTTTATATGCAAAAAACCTAGAACCTCCTTGACTTCTAATTTTAAACTAAACCAAATTGTTGAAGGCAACAATGTGATACTAATGATCCATAACACCCCAGCAAAACATGCTACTTGGCTTGCAAAAGTTACTTGGTTGGTTTGCAAAAGTTGGAGGACAAACACGACTATAGCAAAAATGATTTGAATCTCACTTGAATTTTTTGGACATGTTGTTTTGAGGGCAAACTGATTATAGTTGGTGTATTTGAAAGTTGAGAAGAAACGTCATTCGTTTCGCCTTCTAATTTTTACTTACAACACAACATTTCTATTTTATAGTGGGGATGAATGTGGAATTATAACTTGAGATACTGGTTCGTCAAAGTGCACTTATCCTTTCAACTTGAAATCATCGCCACTATGAATAGAAATGTTGTGGAGTAGGTAAGAAACGGAAGGCGAAACGAGCGACGTTTCTTCTCAACTTTCAAATGTATTTCACTGTAATCATTATTCTTAGGACCTCGACATGCCTAAATATTTGGCTGCCCATCCTTGATTCTTAACGGCCATTGATGTTTCACGTTCTACTTCCAGGAGAGCTGAGAGAGAGTTTCTTAAGGTTTGTAATACGATATATGTTGTCTCGAGGGTATGATCAGGTTGTGGATGCAAATGTCGAACTTAGCATTGGGCTTACAACATATCGTAATGGACTTCTTGGTCCTCTCCTACCTCGTGATTTGTATTTGGAGGATCTCGAATCCTAGATGCCAGTAGTTGTCCCTATTTCTTTTTTCTGCCACTTTATTTATTGAGTGGCTTATGGCCGTATTGGGGTGTACCATATTCGATTTTGTTTGGTGTCGTGGCGGCTACAATTCATCTATTTTTTGGTGTTCCTTGATGGAGGGTGGCTGAAGCTGGGGTTGGGCGGTCCCTGTCAGTGCGTGCAGTTGTGGACCGTGACGTTTCTTGCTTCGTGGTTATTGGTGGAGGGTGCCACCTTCTTGTTTGATTTTTTTGGGCCCTTTGGGCGAAGTGTTCTAACTTTATGTTATTATGATTTTAATTATTTGTACTTTGTTGTATGTATTCTCTCTCTCTCTCTCTCTCTCTCTCTCTCTTTATCTCTTTGTATCTCTATTACTAGGTTATTGATTGTACTTTTGTGATGTGCATTTGATATCTCATCTCTGTCTTTATCTTGTCTCTTTTTTCTTTTTTTTTTTATATTTCATTTGGCTACTACTTTGACACTGAATTGGTTGATTTGATATCTCATCTTCACTTTTTTTCACTTATCTCTTTCATTTGTATTTTTTGTATTGGAAACCTCGATAGTGTTTAGGCTTTATTTTTTCAAGGGTGATGATGTTATGGATTGGAAAGTTTTGCTTTTTTGTATGTAATTATGAATGTTCTTGACTTTATTATATATGTACATCTTTGACTTGGATTAGGGAGAGAGGGAAAGGCGATTAAAGAGATGGAATGGTGAGAGAGCGAGAGAGATGCCTAGAGATAAGGTAAAGATGAGAGCTAAGAAGATGCATTGAGAGAAGGGATTAATAAATAACGAGTATTGTTTATATTATCCCCTCCAAAACATTGAAAGACATCATTTGGTTCCATAATACGAGTGTCGAAGATGAAGAGATTGATGAACCCTCTCGAACGCCTTAGTGGAGTTATGTCACTTTAGTTGGTGGTGATTCAAAATTGAGAGGCGGGGGGAGGAAATGGAAGTGTAATTTCCGCTATAGAGATCCCTTGTTAACAACTTCTTACGTATGAGTGTATGTTCATTTATTAGGCCTTTGACTGGGGTGGAAGTCTAAGGGGATAATTCTTTGCCCAAAAATATCAAAAGACGAACAAGATGCATTGAGGCTAGAAGAGTCTGAGGCTAAACGTTTGTTTGGTTCGAGTCGAAAAGTCAGTATGAGGTCACTTGATCAAACTGAATTCACGTCATTAACGCAGCATTCAGGGTTAATACAAAAGGCTACGTGTTCAAATAAATAGGCTAGGGGCACTATAACTCTTACGTTTGATATTCTTACGAGGAGGTAATCCCTTTTAATGTAGTGAAGGGTCCTTGGTTTAAAGAAATGATATATGCAATAAACAATGCTCTCAAGGGTTATGTGCCCCATAAATATGAGATTGAGGACAAGTTTGCTTGATAAAGAGAGGAGCCGGATTGACCGTGAGCTAGGAGCATAGAGAAATGAATGACCAACTTATGGGGTTTCTATTATTTATGATGGATGGAGTAATGTGAAGAATCAATCATTGATAAACGTAATGGCTGTATCAGAGGGCAAGGCTATGTTTGTGAATGACTATGATTGCTTTGAAATTGAGCATACTAGTCTGAATATTGCAGATTTACTTTGAAGGCCATTGACAATATTGGACTTTGTGATGTCGTTCAAGTCGTGACTGACAAAGCATCAAATTGCAAGGGAGCTGGTTCAATAATTCAACATCATCATCCTCATATTTTTTGGTCAGGTTGCTTAGCTCACATTGGAGGATATTGTGGATATAAAGGAAAGACACTTAACATTTGCTTTTGTTAGGGATCATTGCAAAGAGGGTAAATGGGTTGTGACATATATTCGCAACCACACGAGGTGTTTGTAATTATTTCGAACTTCGCAACCACACGAGGTGTTTGTAATTATTTCGAACTTTTTTGAATCTCGAGCTTCTAAAAGCCAAGAAGACTATATTCGGTTATCACTACATCATGTTAAGACGCCTTAAGGAAGAGAGGCTTGCCTTGACGTCCCTCGTCTTGGGACCATTGGGTAGGACTCAAACGTGGCCTGGGAGATGCGGAGTATGTTGAAGTTCACAGAATAGTAATGGATGATAATTTATGGGCAACAAACAAATAATATTAGGGATCACAAGACCAATATCGGGGTCATAAGCATTAAGATTATAATGCGGTGCATTTGAAAGTTGAGAAGAACCGCCACTCGTTTTGCCTTCCATTTCTTACCTCCATAGTTTTTAATTGTGATTAGCATTATTTTCAAGTGTTGTAAAACTTGAAACATGAATGTGTAAACATATGTATGCTTATCTTTTTTAGTAAAAAAGATAGACTAACGTAATGTTTCTGCTACACCTAAATATCTAAAGTTCCTATTTACATTGGGGTTTTCCATTTGTGGTAAGCTAAGAGTTTTTAAATTGACATGTAAACGTTGGTGGGTCAATTTCTTATCCATTGTTTCTAATTGTGATTAGCAGTATAAAGTGTTGTAAGTCTTGAAACTGGACAGCATAAATGTATAAACTGGAGTGCATAAATATTTGTGTGCTTATATTGTTTTGTAATAAGCATAGACTAATGTAATGTTTTTGCAACACTTGAATATCTTGTGTGCGTATTTACAGTTTTACGCTAGGGTATTACATTTGTGGCTAAAATAGGTTGATCAATTTCTTTTCCATGGTTTCAAATATTCATTAACAATATTTTGGAGTGTTGTAAAACTTGAAATAGGAATGTGTAAACATATGTGTGCTTATCTTTTTTAGTAAAATTCATAGGCTAATGTAATGTTTTTGCAACACTTAAATATCTAAAGTGGCTACTTACACTGGGGAATTCCATTTGTGGTAAGCTATGAATTTTAAATGGACATGTAAAAGTTGGTGGATCAATTTCTTATCCATTGTTTCTAATTGTGATTAGCAGCATCTTGAAGTGCTGTAAATCTTGAAACTAGAGTGTGTAAACATATGTGTGCTTATTTTTTTTTATAATAAGCGTAGACTTATGAAATGTTTCTGCAACACCTAAATATCTTGAGTGCCTATTTACATTGGGGAAATCCATTTCTGATAAGCTATGAATTTTTAAAGGAACATGTAACTGTTGGTGGATCAATTTCTTATCAATTGTTTCTAACTTGGCAGTATAAAATGTTGTAAGACTTGAAACTGGACAACGTAAATATATAAACTGGAGTGTGTAAATATATTTATGTTTGTAATAAGCATAGACTATTGTATTGTTTTTGCAACACATATATAAACTGGAGTGTGTAAATATATTTATGTTTGTAATAAGCATAGACTATTGTATTGTTTTTGCAACACCTGAATATTTCGTGTGCGTATTTATAGTTTTACACTGGAGTAATACATTTGTGGTAATGTGTTGTAAACTTTTTATCAGATTTCTTTCTAGGAAACAAAAAGATACGTGCGACTTGCTTAGCTAACTTATTTGTCTTCTTGTTTGAAGGATATGATTGCTCAATAGGTTACAATTTGGGATGTTCAGACGCACGAAATTTTACTTCAAGATACAAATACTCTTCAGGAATTGCCTCCTGGAACTTTGACGGAATGGGAAATGCAGGTTATTTGGGGTCATCCATTTATGAAGTACCCGTCCCACATCTAGTTCCGAGAATGTCGGGATCACGATCTTAAAATTCTGGGAGCAGAGATCTAATTTGTTCAGGAACCACATCTACAATCCCTGAAGTAGAGGGAGCGAGCTCCGTTGTTAATAGGATCGAGAATCCTAAAAATTGGAGCGAGATCCCAAAAAAAGAGAGAAATGGGTTCCGAGCGATATCTCGGCTCGCGAACGCCGGAGCAAGATTCCGGAGCGGAAGCGCCACCCCCGGTAACTATGGTCCAAAATCCAAGCTGACTTGTAAGCAAGTGATCCCATACCTACCATGGGTTGGGTGAAGTGTTTCGGCACGGGATTTGTTGAATGGCATGAAGGGCTTAAGACAGAGAAGTGTGAGTGTCACATTGCCATGGGTATGTGAGAGTAGGCTTGGCAACACTGTTACATGTTCCTTTTCTAAATTCAGCGGGTGATATTGAGAAATAACGGGATTTTCCATTCTAGACATGATAAATAACTCAATTTTTCTCTGAATTATTGGACATAATCAAGTTGCTGTTGTTTGGATGGTCACAATTTTTAAATAAGAATACATTATGTGGATTTAAGCCATAATTAGCAAACAATGTCCATATACAGTATCAATTTGGGGAATTATCTGACACTTGTTCTGGTTTTTGCTTCATTTTAGTCTGCAATTAGAGAATTTCGCAGACTTTTGGTAATATAAGTGTTACAAACGATGGATGGATCCGTTGAACCTTACATGAGAACTTCTTTTACGGATTGTCTAAATTAGCAAGAGGTAAATGTATTCTGTGCAACCTTCATGTAACATATTGAGAACTTGAGGGTTGAGACAATTGCTTTTATTCTGCATTAGATTTGCTTTGAGGGAGCTGAATTCAACATATTCAGTGTGTTTGTGTCTTTCAGCAATACTGGTCTTCACAATATCTTCTCAATAGAAGAAAGGAGGCATCCAGTTCCAGTCCTTGCTTTTTATAGGTTTCAATGTTGTATACTGCATTTACTCTCTTCAGTGAAATAAAAGAAAATATCTCAGTAGACTTTATTTTTATTCTCATTTCTTCATAGATTTAAGTTTTTGAAACTTATCTGGTGATAAAGATTCTATCTATTGTATTTTCCAATCCTTTGGACAAACTTTAACTCCATCCTTTTAACCCAATTTTTTTTTTATAAAAGACATTCTTTTTAAACCTCCTCATCGTGTCTCTTTTTCTCTCTATGTGAATCTCCCAAACCCCTCTCTCTCTCTCAATTTCCCCCAACTCTCTCTGATGGGAAGTGGGGTTGCCACGAACTGTCCCTCAACTATTGGTTGACACGAACTCATGAATGTTTCTCTGATATTGTAATATATGTTCATATTTGTGTAGCTCTTTGTAATAAAAGGGATTTATTTATGTTTTCTTATTTTTCTTTTACCTAGTCTTCAAGGGACCCGATTTATATGTTTCATTTCTAATTGAAAGGTTAGTCATATGTATCTAATAAACATGGGGGCTGCTATTCGTGTAACTTAACTAAGTATCGCGCGCTTACTGGTGTAGTGAACGTGGAGCCAGCGGGAGAAGTACATAAGCACTGAGCGAGCCTTTGGGGGAAACAAAGCCAAAGCAAGTCTACTAAATTGAAATGGGTTCGCTCTTTAGCTTAGGTTCAGTTCTTTATGCTTTTAGTAAATTAGCTTAACTGAAATTGTGAATGTAGGAGATTTGCTGCTCTTATTAGTACTCTCTATGGCATGTCGATGACAGCGTATTTCATTTAGCTCTTGATTATGTACAGGGTATATACCGGCCTTATTAGTACTCTCTATGGCATGTGGATGACGATGTGCTTCGTTTAGCTCTGGATTATGAATACATATGGTTTGCACAACCGTGAGTCATTCTCCTTAGACAGGGTTGATAGTGCATAAGGTCGATCAATGCACTCCTTATCTTGACGTATTTTCTGCTAATGCGAATCTATAGTAAATTTTGGTTAAACATCATTTATTTATTGATCAAATATTGATAAAAAAGGATCCAGATATTTCTATAATATGTTCAAATGATTTTATAACAGTCACGGATCTAATTTGATCAGTTTTGTTTGACACTTTGATCAAGATTTGTAAAAAAAATTGATGTTTCTGCCGCTGCAGAAACAGCAGCACAATCAATTCATAGCAAAATCAATTCATAGTGCAATGTTGGAGTCTTAAGCATGTACCTTGAGGAATTTACACAAGGTCAATCCCTTGCTGAGGATATTCCTATCACTATGTAATGGTTGAAGGCCCAATATATATGTGTGTATGTATGTATGCAGGAACGTGTCGGTGTCGGTCTTCATGTAACGTTGGGTAGTGTGTGTTTGTGTGTTAGGTTATCGGAGAATTGGGTTAGTGTACATTCACCGTAGGATAGTTAATGTCATTTTGATACGAGAAAGCATTTAATTGTGGAACTTGAGTTACACTCTTTGATATTCTTCCTTTTGATTTATATTTCAAACAAATATCTTAGAAAACCTCTGTGACTAGTTTGATTTGCCCGAGTTGACTTGGAATTAGTGAGTGGGCGATCCGCTTCTATTGAACCCCAGAACTAAGTCCTTTAGTTTTCAAATTTTCTTTTTAATTTTCCATCACATTTTCACGAGGATCCGACGCAGAAATTGGCTGAGTCAAACGTGAGAATTTGGTGATAAATTCCATTTTTTTCAAAGGCTTCTCCAAATCTCTATCATTTGGCCGTTATGTAAGGAAATTCTCTCTGCTAGTCTCAATCAGTTATCCCTCTTAGGCCCCTCTTTCTCTCTATCATGGTTAACTGGTCTAATTTTGCCTCTGTGGTCTATAGAGATATAACAAGGATAAAAAATAGCTTTGCAGTAGTTGTGTACGTGGTAAGTACTTTTAATTTCCCAGTTTTCTTTATTTTTTATTTACTTTTCCTGATCTTTTGATTTTTGGTGCGCACATCAAAAGAAATACTTATAAATTGCTGGTCTTTATATGCATGATGGACATGATTTGTGCTCTGACTTCATCTCTTCTCACTTTACCCGTCGAAGTTAAAGGAAAAGGTTTATTCCATACCAAGCAAATCTTTGGTATCTTGAACCTGCAGAAAGGCAATACAATTTTTGCTTAGGTTTTTTTCGAGAAACACACATAATACATATATATATATACATATAGAAAATACTATGCAATGTTTATAGGAAAAAATGAACAGTGATTTCACCTACTCACATCACCGTCAAAAATTCATTGTGTGGTCACGATTGTCTAGTAGTGTTTCATTTTATTTCTACAAATTGGAATGATATGAAATTTGGAGCGTGAATTCATAAAAAATAGGGGAATCTTTGAAAATATAAAACAAATATTTTACATGAAAAAATTGACCCAAATATCCCTGAAAATTTTTCGGGGTATTTGGTCATTTTTCCACTGATAATTTTTTTATATTTTTATTAGATGTATCTCAGTAAGATGTATATACTCTCCAAATTTCAGGTCATTCTTATTTGTAGAAAAAAAAAATGAAAAATAAAACACTACCAGACAATCGTGACTGCGCGATGAAATTTGGACGGTGATGAAGGTAGGTGAAATCACTGTTCACTTTCGCTTATAGGCGTTGGCGGAGATGAACAATGATTTCGCCTACCTTCATCACCGTCCAAAGTTCATCGTACGGTCACGATTGTCCGGTAGTATTTCATTTTTCATTTTTTTTTTCTACAAATCAGAATGATATGAAATTAGAGCGTGCGTACATCTTAGTGAGTAGTACCTAATAAAAATATAAAAAAATAATTAACGAAAACAAAATTATTCGCCTATTTTTTATGAATACACGCTCCAAATTTCAGATTATTCCAATTTGTAGAAAAAAAATGAAAAATAAAACATTACTGGACAATCGTGACCATATGACGAACTTTATACGGTGATGAAGGTAGGCGAAATCATTGTTCATTTTTGCCTATAGGTGTTTTGTAGTATCTTCCTATATAGTGATATGTAGTATCTTCCGATATAGTGATACTATATAAGAAGATATTACAAAACACCTATAGGCGAAAATGAATAGTGATTTTACCTACCCTCATCACCGTCAAAAGTTCATCGTATAGTCACGATTGTCTACTATTGTTAGCATGAAAAACTTGACCAAAATACCCTCGAAAAGTTTCGGGGGTATTTTGATTAATTTGTTTTTCATAAATTATTTTTTTATATTTTTTATTAGGTAGCCTCACTAAGATGTACACAAATTCTAAATTTCAAATCGTTCCGATTTATAAAATAAAAAATAAAAAATAAAATACTACTGGACAATCGTGACTGTGAAATGAACTTTGGATGGTGATGAGGGTAGACGAAATCACCCTTCATTTTTTACCTATAGGAGTTGGGAAACCTTTCCATATATACATATATATATATATGTGAGCCGACCTAGCTAAGCGTAAGCATAGGTCGACATATGTGACCCGTATGATGGCTTGGACCGGGCATTTCATTGCCCATTGCCCGGCCTTGTCCAAGCCAACTAGTTCGTGGCTTGACCTAGCCACATAGAGAGGATGACCTAACCCCAGCCTTGCTCTTCTATGCCACAAGGTTGGGTGCAATGCTTCGACAGGTAGACGGGGGGCCAAGCTCATCTCTGCTTGGCCTATTTTCATACTAGGAGGAGAAGAATGGATCTAAGAAATAGAGGAATTTTGGTCACTTAAATATTACCCACTGAGATTTTGCTGCTTGCAGTAGTCTCGAAGGAGCGAGCTCGACAATTGCAAAGTGGCATGAGGATCGTCACCACCCCAACTCCATTTCTCTTTAACACGAACGCATGCAATTACTGCCTCTGTGAACCGATCATCTGGAATCCCAACAACAACAACACCTGCGATCCCTGGATGCCGGGAAAGAATAGCCTCCACCTGTAGGCCCAGATCAGGCAGTCCACATTCACAGTGTGAAGGAATTTATCTTATTCATTTTCAAATTTGTTCAAAAGAAGCGGAATGTACTACAACTCCCAGAGGCATCACAACTTTTTATCCGTGTCATATTGTTATGAGAGTATGAATATTTTGATGGCTATTAGAATCAGAACAATTTACTCATCCTTAATGGTGTAAACCTACTGTAACATTAGGGTTTGTATTCTACAATGCATCATGGATTTTTCTTTTTTTTTGCTTCTGTTTCTGTTTTGGATATCTTCAAGTTTTTCACGAATTACTTTTCCACTAAGAAATATGAGTGGAGAATGTGACACTTACTTCTTGAGGAAACACATTCTCGCCTCCGGTTTTTATTCGATCTTTTTCTCGGCCTAACAACCACAAATTCCCCTTCTCATCAATCCACCCCATGTCTCCGGTGTTTAGCCAGCCACCCTTATTGGGAAAACCAGTAGAATTTTCACCCCAATACTTAGTCATAACATGAGGTCCTCTAGTAAGTATAGCACCTATCGGACAAGAATTAATGACAGCCTTTTCCCTTATCTGCAGTTCGACATGTGGGGCCGGTTTCCCGACGCATGTGCCTCCTGGCCGATTATCCGAATGGGAGATGATCGTGTATGAATCATCATTTTTTCGGAGTGGAAGGGGCATGAATGTCAGTGATGAGCTTGCTTCTGTCATACCTTATGAAAATTCAGGCCATTGGATCAAGAAAGTGATGTGGTGGAAATTATATTTGATTTTGGTACAATCAAATTATTTTTGTTTTCAATTGGCATAAATTTTATGCTATTTTTCAACTTCATATTTTGGAGAAAGAAGAAAGCTCCTTATACACTTTTCAAAATCTATACTATTCATCTCTTTAAAAAAAAGAGGAAAATAAAAAAAGATTAGAATATTGTTAGAAAGAAGATTATGTCTTACCATAAGCTGAAAGAAGCTTTGCATGTGGAAATATGTTGATGACAGCCCTGGCAATTGGATCAGAAAGTGAGCCAGCACCATTCAATATCTTCTTCACACTCTTAAACCTTCCTTCTCCCCCAGTTTTCCTGAACAAAAATTTATTAAATGATATTTAAATTATGATACTAGCCCTAGTGATACATGTTATTAAAAATAGTTTATTCCTATAATCTCCACTTTAGCTATAAAAGTAATTAAAGTTTTGTGGGTGTATGTCTTGCTCTCGTGGAGGATACTGTACAACTATTAACTCAAGTTAAAGTGCTACTTACGAGTTTAAGTTTTTATTTGAAAATTTGGGATCCACCTACTATGCCTATATTTTAAAAATAAAATTGGATTTTGAGTTCATAAATAGTTACATCCGGCCATCACATCTTAGGATGTATTTTCCCTTAGCTAGTACAGGTTGCATTTCTCCTTTTTGCTTTTATTTTATTTTTTTTATTTTTCATTTTGAGGTTGTTTGCTGGTTTGAAGAGGTTACATCCCCCAAAGGTTGGGGTCCCTACCAATACTTCTACAATGGGTAATGCTTGAGGGTATGAATTAGGGAATTGCTCTCACAAAACATGAAATCTTTTGGCTAAAATTAATGGAAATGTACATAATAAGGTCTTTCACTTTTTGAATGAAGAAGTGACAATCATTATTGATCGTTAGATGTGAAATTGGATAGCTAGGTATGCCATTGAATAGGCACAAAGTTCAAAATAAAAAAATTCTCGAATATAATGTTATGTTTTAATATGTTGGATTTTACATCCCATTGTTAAGAGTAATTGTCACCTCGTTGTACTATAAGTAAATGGTCTCATAGTATATAATCCTAGAATTAATAGATAAGCTCATTAGCATTTTCTTTTTTTTTGAGAATTCATGTTGTGATATGGTGAAACCTTGAAAATTCAGCTATTTTCCTTCTTATTATAAACTATAGGAGAAAACCATACCCCAAAATTTTCCAATTACTTAGACTATTAGAAAAATAAGGGTATTTTAGTTATTTGGAAATCATCGAGGAAAAGATGGAAAATCTACTAATTTAACACGAGGGGTGCACTTGGTTAGAGGAAGATGGTTCCCATTTGTAAAGCCCTTGAATGGAAAAACTATTTTCTTTGGTAGTTTATTAGTAGGAATTGAACCAGAGATGTAGAATTGCTAACGTCAACAGCTAAACACCCAGAAGCCTAATTCCTATGGGAAAAAGATTTTACATCACAAGTATAAAATTGATTTCCCATATTTTTGGGTTGGCTGGATGCTATGTGGGTTCCCATGGGCGGTTCAACTTTCCCATGAACCAAACATGAGAAAGTGGTGGTCCACAAAGAGATTTCTCTCCGAAAGAGGGATTTCTCACGAACCAAACATACCTTGAGAAAAGATGATTACCCCAGGAAGGAGAGTAAGTCAGCCATCATTGTGGGGACTGTGATGAAAGAGGTAACATTGTTTTGGTTGATGGCTTGGAGAACCGATTTTGCTTCAAATTTAGGGATGAAGACATGACATGCCCGTGCCATTAACATGGCCAAACCTGAGGAGATCCCACCTATGTGACACAATGGGGCAGTGTGAAGATAAACCTGCAAAAACCATCATTATATGACCCCTCTCTCTCTATATTCTATGAGGAATTAAGGGTCAGAATCTTCCCTAACTATTAGATACATATGTGATACATGACACCCTACTGATTGTGCACAATGCTAGTGAGAAATTTTCTCCAAATTTGTATAGAGAAATGGCACAAACCCCTTTAGCCATCCGATTTTATATCCGACAAGTTGCACGATTCTTGGCATTTGCATGAAAGGCAAGAGTCTCACTATGCATTCTCATGTAATAGATTGTTTGTTTTAGGGCTTGAAAATTCACCAATCTGGATCGGGAATCGTCGATTGGCGACCTCGATTGGAAATTGGCATAGGACGCTGATGTTAGAAAATTGATGATCTTGTCATGGAACTTGGTGATTCGTACCGGACAAATCACCCGATTCCCACACTTTATATCTTTATTAATTTTCCTTTTAAGTTTTTTTTAACATTTTTATAGACCTACTCTCGATCCGGAGAATTGATTGGATCGCCAATCTAGATCAGCAATTCTCCAATCCCATATGGCGGATCATCCGGTCGATTTGGGTTTCAAAAGGTCTAAAAGGAGGACTTACATCGTCCTCATTATAACCAACAATGGCAATCTTGGCTAAAGATTGGACAATCAATGCTGTATGATCAATAGCAACTCCTTTTGGCTTTCCTGTGGTTCCTGAATACAAATGATCAAATAATACAAATAGTTCATGTTAAGGATGAAACTATAGTGCATGAAGGCTAAAGAGAATATGAAAGAGGGCTAATGTTCATGATCCATCAAACTGGATAACTATATAGCAAGGGCAGTTCAGTTAGTGTTTCCTAAACTTTTTATAAGATATTTTAAATATAGAGAGAATTTGCATAAAAATGCGATTAGTTCCTAGAAGCTACACCATTCTAAGAACCATATTTAACTTTAGTTGCCAGTTACCTGATGTGAAGCAGATCAGGACAATTGACTCTGGCGCTTGGATAAAGTCGAGCTCAATTGGTTTTGGTGGTGGTGTTCTAATGGCGTCTGAAAATAACAAAGGTAAATATTCAGGTTTCCAGTAAAGCAACCAAAGGTTTCAAAGATGTCTGAGAACGAGATTGTTGTGTAAAAGTTCATAATAAAATTATTTATGTTATATTTGTGGTATAAAAAGGTCACAATTACTCTTAAATAGCTCGGGCTCAAAGTCCATGATTTTTTTAAAAAAAATTGTCAGATTTAGATCAACCGTTGTACCTATTAAATGGTCTTATTTTATACCATTCCAATTGCTATAGCTTATATTATTCCTTCATTTGATTTCTTTTGCAAACTTATATTGTTATTGTTTTCTTTATAAGTTTGAGCCTTTTCTTTCTTGATTGCCTTTAGGAAGCAAACATTTTGTGATGCATCTTCATCATTCATCATCCAGAAGCTTGCTTTTGCTTTTTTCCTTTTTTTTTTTTTTTTTTGAGTGGGAAGGTCCATTTCCTAATTAATTAGGTTGGACAATGTTGGACCCTCGAGGCAGGGTTTGAAAAATTGTGCACTTGGATCAGAATCATCTGATCTGACTCATAATAGGCTGGCCAATACTCTCGGATAGGCCCGAAGAGGTGAGTTGGCCGGAGTTGACAAAATTTGCATAATCCAACAGCCAACCTAAGAGAGAAAAAACAAAGACCTAGGTGAACCCCATTCCATATGCATTTGTATGTCATGACATAGCATTGTACATGACATATTTTATTAACTTCAGCATGCTTTTCCTTGCCAAAACAAATAAGGGAACTGTTAAATATATTTGCACACATATAATATCGATGTGCTTACAAAATTAAGAGTAAGCCAATAACAATGTTATAGACTAACACTTATTTTTGTTTTCAGCTAATATTTGGTATTGTTAAAGATTAATTTTCAACTATTTAATGAAAGACCAATTGGCTATGAGTCCAAGAAGGGACGACTATCATTCCCGAGATAGATTATATATTGGGAGATACCCAAAAAGTCCATTCAAACAAAAAAGGAAAAGAAAAAAGGAAAAATATTTGGATATTAAGGGATCTATTCACCTTCTAACAATATTGGCTAGTTTTCTCTAAGTTAGAAAAAATATCTAAAATTTTCCCTTTTTTTAATAAGAAAAAGTATACAAGGGGACCATTTACATGTGGTACATACAAGGTGGTCACAATTAATCTTGACCAATGTATGTGAAGTTGGGTAACTGTATTTATTCCATTGACCAAACTCAAAGTTCAAAAGAAATTTTTTTGAACTTTATGATATACCCAAACTATCAGATTTCAAATAGGATAGTTATACATAATTGTAACCACCAAATACCAAAGATATATGGTCTCATTGCTACAAATAAACCACTTTCTTGACTCTTAAAGGTCTACCTTTCCTACTTGAGCACATTGTGATATGGTAAGGCACTTACAATTGTTGTTGGTGGCCAGATTGGCATGAAATTTGATGGTTTTTTGAAACTTGGCTGCCCATGGACCACAATAATTGTCCACTACCAACATTGCTGGCTGAACAAGCTCGATGGCCGATCTCACCTCTTCCAAACTCTACATTTACATGGTGCATATTACTTACACAAAAAGATTATATGCACTTGCAGGAGCTTAGTGTATATCTACCCCTTGGGTAAAAGGAGTTAGGAGTATTTTTGGGTTGCTCCAAATATTGGAAATGTAACTTTCTCAATCAAATCACCGACCTATAAAACGTTGAGCACTATTTATCTATTTGCATGAATAAATTGCGCCCTACGATTGAATAGGATCATCAGTTTTGTAGTTTAGGTCATAGTGTTATTTTAAGAACTCGAATCTTTTCTCCCTTTCTTTTTCTTTTTTTATTTTTTATTTTATTTTTATTAAGTTTTAAAAAAGGGCAAGCTTTTTTTTGTTTTCCCTGCGGCATAAAACTTATATATTTCCCCTTATCCAACTGTCCATTCTGAAATGGAGGATTAAGATTGCCCCAATCACAATGTCATGTCTCTACACTATTTTAATTTTAATTTTTTTTAAATAAACTATTTTGACACCAAAATTTGGACATCCAATCCTCTATTAAACTTGCACTAGCGAAAAGCATAAAAAAAATATATATTTTCAATAAAATAAAATGACCAAAATACCATTGAAAGATTCAAGGAGTATTTTGGTCATTATATTTTATCGAAAAATTATTTTTAATATTTTTTATAAGTGCGTCCTAATGAAGATACGGCACGTACCAAATTTCATATTCATACAATTTGATAAAAAAACTAAAAATAAAATACTTTGAGATGTCGGATCTAAGATCAAATGGTGAGTGGTTCTCTTGATCAAAATTAGAGGGCTAGATGGTAAGAGAAGCATAAACCTTCTATGTTGTAGGGAAAGTATAGAAACCTTTCCCTTTATAAAATACTTATGACGATTTAGATCCTAAAACATAGCCCAAATTTCATATAAAGAAAATATTTATAACTTTATTTTCCTTGGGGAAGTAAGCGTATTGAGTGATCCCGTGGGAGTAGTGCTTTCACTTCTTCCTTTTTTTTACTTTTTTTTTTGAAGGAAGAAGTAATGGTTCCATATGCAAACCAATGAGGAGTGAAGTTGGTCCAATTATCGGTGGAATCTGGCTTTTTTACAAAAAAAATTGTCTTTTATTTTCTATTAAGTCAAAACTGGGTCAAACTAGATTTGCCAATGCGCCATTTGATAGTTGGGTTGGCTTGTTTGAACAGGCTTGATCATTTAGATCTAAGTATGCAAAAAGCCTTTTTAACTAAGAAAAAGTTTATATAAGAGTGAAGGCCTGAACAATCAAGTTAAAACTCACCTAAAAAATTTACTAGCCGACATTGTTTTGATGCTAAAAAACCCTCAATTCAATCGTAGACGCATATTTCTTACCCATCGATAGTTAAGAGGAGCTGCAATGGCTCCCACATAGGCAACGGCTAGCAACCACTCCAAGTAGTAATCACTGCAACCCCAAATATATATAACATAAAAGTAAATGTGAGAAAAAAACAAAAAAAAAAAACCAAAAACTCTTAAAAACCCAAACAACAAAACATGCTAACCCACCTTTTTTTCTCATTTTTCTTGATAATGATGATGAAGATAATGATAAGAACAATAATAATAATTAAAAAAACGGTAGAAGGATACGACACCTTAAAGTTGTGCCGCAAAAGGTGGCATTCCACTATTTGCGGCAGCAATTTTAGAAATTGAACTCCGCTTCTCGGCAAAACACAACCGATAGCTGGGTTTTGCCATTAGTAGAAAAAAATAAGAAAATACATTATTTTATACTTAATTTCAAAAAATAAAGGTAATCTTGCGGCCGGCTGTTTTCAGGTAGCTAGTTGCATGACTGTCCTCAATGGCAGGTAGAGGCAAGACTCGACTGTTGCTACTGTAGCATCCAAACGAGGCCTTAATGTGTGCACTCACAGAGATAGAGATAGAGAGAGAGAGGTAAAATGGGTAACCTGTTTAAGGCGGCGATGGCGACGACGTCCCCCCGTTCCAATCCCGAATCGGACAACTCTTTAGCGAGGCTGATGACACTGGTAACAAATTCGTTGCCGGTTTTTAGCCTGTTTCCGTATATTGTGACCGGAGAATCTGGCCGGATAGTTGCAATCCGGCTTAGACATTGACATATGTGGGCCTTCGAATAACCCATTTACAGAGAGAGAAACAAATTGCGGCCCAAAAGAGGGCTCTGTGTAACATGGTAGTTTTGAATGTTGGAGTGGGGGTTATCCATAGGGGATTACATTGGATAACGTTAGAGAGACAAGGACCAGACTGACTACATTTGTCTTTGAATAATGGACCGGGTTTTTATGCGGCCAAGCCCACATACCTAGAATTACTGGCCTATTGATAAATCTATTTTCGAGATGGATGAGATCATGACTATAAAAGAAAAATAAATTGAAACAACTAAAAATAATAAATCTAGTAAGAAAATATTTGGATAGTTAGTTTCTTTTGTTTTTAGATGGAACTTCTACTTGAATCCATCTTTAAGATGGATGCTTCACCATTTTTGGACCGCATAGGTAGTCATGCGTTTCCAGCCGGTATGAGACAATTTTCCTTGAATAATATCCAGCTTTTGGGAAAATGTTTTAAAACTACCCAACCTTATTTTAAAGGGTGTGGATTGTATAAGGCCGAGGCCCTAAACTATCAAAGTAAAGCACACCTTCAAATAGTGTCGAAAGATCTTTTTTCAATACTATCAATATTTGTGATGGCCTAAAAATTTATTTTCATATCTAATTATAAAATTTAAAGCTTCAAAAAAAGTGTTAATGGAGCAGATCTATAAACGCTTGAAAATCTTAAAAATTGACGGTAAAAAAATGCATGCACTATTTCTAAGACTTGAAATCTTTTTTTTTCTCATGTCTCTTCATCTTGAGGTTGAGATGATCAATTTGAAGATTTTTTAGCATTGAAACAACCTCTTCTAATGAATTTTTGAGGTGCTGCCTTAATTTGATTGTTTAAGGTCTCGCCTTTATATAAACTTTTTCCTATCATAAATACCCAAATGGATCATTTTTAATGAAATTACTACCATTTACTACCCATAATTGTTAGATGTGAGATCCGGTAGCTAGGATTGTGTTATTCACTTTGCTCAAAATGTAGTAAATTAAAATAAAATGTTTTTAAGTAGCTATAGATTCAAGGAAATATATTAAAATAACAATACATAAAAGACTTTAGTAGGCAATTGCCCGATGTGATTATCGGAAGTCAAAATCACACCCTAACCATTAGATGTAAAATTGAGTGGTTAGGAATATACAATTGACTGTGCCTAAATCTTAAAAATCAGAATAAAGTACTTTATCATAATTGTATTTTCTAAGAAACATATTTAAATAATAGAAAGAAAAAGAATTTAGTAGCCGTTTGCTTACATCAATTGTAGCAACTTACACTGGATCTTGGAGAAAGTCAAAACTCTTAATAACTTTTGTGGTGGTGTTTTAAAATCCAAAAATAACATTTTTTAGATATTTTAATTTCTACTATAACATCCATCCACTTCAAATATAGGAAGCCTTTGAACATGATCAATAATACAATCTCAGCCATTCACATCTCAAACACATCTTGCACTTCGGGCTAATTGTGACTTTTCTATACCACATATAAACAGTCTTATTGTATACTTTTCCTAGTTTTAAATACGCATAATCGATTATATTGGAGGAAAATAACATGTCCTTTGTTGTCTCTGAGCTAAGAATGTGATTACACTATTTGGAAGTATAAGTGAAGTGGACAGGTATAACTGGAGTTTTATGTAATCGCCGAAACCGGAGGGCAATTTCATAGGACAGCTGTGAGAGCAACTTTACTCTATAGGGTATAGTATTGGGTGGTCGAGAAACAATAAACCCACATAATGAGTATAGCTGATATGAGGTTGTTGAGATAGATTAGTGGAAAAACAAGAAGAGATAAAATTCAAAATGAATACATTCCGGAGAATTTAAGTATGCCACCAATAGATGAAGAGATGAGAGAAATTAGACTAAGATGGGGCTGACCATGTGTGGTGCAGACCCAATACAACACTTGTTAGAAGGAACGAGTTAGTACAAGTGAAATATTAAAAAAAGACATGGTTGAAAGTAGTGAGAAATGATATGGAGACTTATAGCCTCACTGAGGATATCACTCTTGATAGAACAGAATGGCGGACCAGGATTTGATTATGAATTCGAATGAAAAAAAGGCCCATTAAAAAAATATTGATGGGAGATAAAGAGATATTTTTTTAAAACAAAGGCAGGCCAAAGCTTCATAAAAGATTTATGGGCTCGGCTGGGCCTGGGCCAAGCCTAGGAAATATTTTCGGCTAGTCCAGGCCAGACTGGAAATAGTTCCAGCTTTTCTCGAGCCAAACCGGGCGCGGCTAGTGGCAACCCTCCAAACAAATTTATTCCAATTGAGGTTGGACCAGAATAGCCCTCTCATAAGTTATATTAAAAAAATTAGAAACCTCTAGAAAGCATCAACACTCTCCCTTCAACTCTATGACACCCCTGATAAACATTTATGCCATCTAGAACTGGTAAAAGAATTTTATATATCTATTACTCTTAAAGAAAGGTAACTGCAGCTAATTAAGGGACGCTATAAGATTAAATATCGATCATCCACACTGATGGACATCACTTCTAAAGAACTCTAAGCTCAAAAAAATAAATGAAAATAATCTACGTGGGGCTGGTAATGGGCTAGGGGCACACCTATTGGGAAGACAAACTTGGTAATACCCGATCAACAAGAATAACGGAACAAAACAATTCTTCTCTTCTTGAGTGAACCTAATAAGAAGTAATCAAGTAGAGACCAATATATCAAATACATTAAAGACAATTATTAAGCTCTTAAATCAGTAACCACATGCACCACAAACACACATATAGATACCACCAATTTTTTATGTGGAAATCCTCCCCAAAGTGAGGAGTAAAAACCAAGGGATTGTAGTTCATTCAAAGCTTCCACTATCACCAAATAATAAGAATACACAAGAGTCTTCTGTAATTAAAACTAGAGGCATACAACAATGCTAATCATCAAGAACAATATATTCTTGGCAAATATCATAAACAAGATGAACTCCAAAAAAGAGAAAATTGAAAAGACGTCACCAAAACAGAGGCAGCAAAGACGGCTCTGCAGAACTGAGTTATAAAGGACTCCAAATGTCAATCACACCGTTCAGAATGAAGAACCATGTGTTTTGAACTTGCTATCAAAATTTCAGCTCAATCGAACCATGAATGGCCATCTGATGGAGCTCTTGATGATGACTGCATAGTACCTCCAAAAATCTAGAATTTTCTCCTTTCCTTCTTTCTTAAATCTCACATCTTGAGACCAAATGAGGAAAAATACTCATTTAAAATATAATGAGTAAAATGATTAAAATGCCCTTACTCCATATGCGATTTAATTCATATGGGCTTCACCCAAAAAAAGATGAACTTTGAGCCAGCATCCACATAGAGGGAAACCTAGCCCAACAACACCAGCTTAATCGGCCTATTCAGAACTACCCAGGCCTTGGCCACTAAATTTGGCCCCAAGGATAGGCCCAAGCATGAAATCTAGTCTCAGGGCCTAATCCAGGGCACCTAGCCCAAGAGTAGGACTTACCTAGGGCCACTTTGGCCCAACCAGGGCAGGAATAGGCTTGGTCTAGCCCTCTAAGGTCCCTGGCTGGGCGTGGGCCAGCCCTAGCCCGCCCAGGCCCGACATGTTCCACCCTTTGAATATATGGTGACAAAATCCGGAAAAAGCCAGTAACATAGAAAATAATGGTGGCAGATCGAATGCGTAAAAGTACTATTGCCACCATTTTTTTTTAGTTGGTACAAAAAAATATTTGAAGAGTACACTCTTGAAAAGGAAAAGTGTAGACCATTTACTTTTAATACAAATAGTCCCTTGTCCATCAGATTTCAAATCGAGTGATTGTGAGTGTGTCATTGAATAAACTCAAAATTTTAAAAAAAAATTTCTTGAAATTTGTAGCTTTCCATGCTTTCCAATTTAACATCTAATAGCTAGTAACAATAGTGATCTCCTTGTAACAAAGATAAATAATATCATATTATGCATTTACAAATGAAAATATTGAATTGGAGATGCTTTAATGCTTAATCATATGTGCAAAGCACATCTGTCTTACTAGACTGATGCACGTGGTAATTCTGTTATTCTTAATTTGAAGCATGAAAAGAGGAAGTTTGGTCCACTCCACCTAACTTTGAGTGAGACCCTTTCCTGCCTCTTTACATGAAAATAGTCATTTCTATCTCGTTCAGTGAAAATAATCCAAGTACATCTTCAATATAAGGAACATTGGGTGGGAAAATAAAAAAAAAGAGGACACAATTATTTTTAGTCATTAGATGTAAAATCCAATAGATTGAAATGTATCGTAGAATTCGAAAAATTTTATTTTAGACTTTGTGTTTAATCAAATGTTACATTCTCAGCCACTCGATTTCACTTCTAATGGTCATTAATAACTATGACCTTCTTGTATCAAAACAAAAATGGTCACACTAAATACATATCAAAGAAAAAAATAGTGATATACAATACACTGGCCAAAATCAACTAGGTCATGCGCTAATGCCACCCATTTTTAACTCCACCCAATTTAGGTCTACTCGTTATAATCCATAACTTTTATCCAAAAAAAAAAGAGAAAAAGTGGTGAGCTAAAGGGCGTAGATGCCACAACGTAATGTCTAGAATTTCATTCTCATTAATTACCGAAATGACATTTAATTAAAAAAATAAAAGGTGTGGACCTCTCCAACAAACCGCGTGAGATTGCCAGTCCCTGTCCCCCCTGCCCCTTGCCTGTGATCTTTAACGGGGTTCCCACTTTTTCCCACGAATAGAAGAGGAAGAGAGACCAAAACAAAGAGAGCCGTCCCTCTTCACTTCAACTGTAGGGTTGTGGTGATCTTGCAAGACCACTTTATAGGCATGGTTAGGCACACAACCTACATAGTGTAACACAGTGGTTTAAAAAGCGGATTGGTGACCCAGATTGGGAACCTCAAAAATCCATCTGAATCGGTGAATCGGCGATCAAGATTGGGAATCGGCCGAATCGGCCGGATTAAGCCTTAAAAAAAATCCGAAAAAACATTTAAAATTTCTTATAAATGTTGTTTTTTTAGGAATTCAATAAGAAATAGAGATACTCCATTAAGAATTTTCATTTATTTGCATGA